CGGGAGGCCGAGGGGCGCCGGGCTGGGGTTGTGTCATTGTCGGGAGGAAAGAAACTCGACCCCCTCCCTCCGGCCTCCTGCAGAGGGAGCGACCGTCCTGCTGTCACAGAGCAAAAAACCAGGAGAAAACCACCCTCGCATTTCCGGGATCTCTCAGTTGCAGATGCCATTAGCAGGATTATCAGGGTCTTCTGGTTGCTTGTGTGGAGTTTTTTTGTGTTTGTGGTGACATTGCTAGCTCTGGTAGAAATACTCTCTGTAGCTGAGTGATGCAGTGGCAGGGGGGGTGCTGGCAGGGACATGTCGTAGCTGTTGCTTTTCAGCATCTTTCTAGTTTGGAGATACTGGAATGTTCTCCAGAGGTTCCACTCACACGTTTCAAATACATGCTGAAATCGCGCTGTGCGTGGTTTACAGCGGTATACGTTGCTTTCCATAATTGCTTTTTGTAGCATGATCAGTCGGGTGTCAGTTAACCCAGTGTCTGTGGGCTGCAGCTGGAGACCACTGGTGGTGTTTAGTTAAAGACTTTTCTGGGTCATATGCTAGAAGTCAGTGAAAAGACTCGTATGTTAACCTTGTTTCTGCTGCACTGTCAGCCTAAAGTCTTAAGCCTAAGCACAGGTCATTGTGCACTGTCATTAGTCAAATGAGAATTTGCATCTTTTTCATCCGGTGCAAATGGATGTAAGCTGCTCTATTAGGAAGTTAGAACTTAAATTAAAAATGCTTAGTTCGAACTGCACAACAGGAAATGTGTTAGTGATGTCAGTTAAAATAAGTTCTCTGTGAAACAAGCGTACTCTTAAAGGCATTCTGCCTGTAACTTGGCGAAGGCTGAGACTTAGTAGTACTGTACCCCATTGTAGTTTTTAGATTTGGATGGTGACAGATGTCAGAAAACCTCTGACAAGGAGGGCAGGATAGTGTCTCTTTGCTTGGATGAGGTCCTAAGCAGAGTGACATTGCTGGTGTTTGTAGAAGACAGTGTGCTTTATCTTGTAATTTTAACTGCTCTGGGCAGTCATAGAGTAGGCAGCTGTAAAGTTTGAACAGACCAAAATGACGTTATCTTTTAGTAGAGTATATGAACTATGTTGGACCTTTATTTGGTGTGAAGCATCCTGTGCTTTTTTTGATCATGGAGGCAGAATCTGTCTTCCCTTCTTCACTGCCATGGCATTTGGTAGGGTGTTCAGCATGGCAGTAACATAAATCACACTTGGGCTTGGATGCGGAGTATTTTTGCGGACGTATCGTGAGTGATCAGAACAAACGCCGAACTTGTTACGGGCGGGGGCAAAATTACAGGTGATAAAGACCTGGAGGAGGACTTTATCTGGTGGACGGTAAGTCAGATATGATTGAGGATGACTGTCTACATTTTGGACTACATTAGCAAGCCATAGCTGTTAGAGGAAGTATTTCTGACCCTCTTTGCAGCACTTTTGAGACAGCAAGTCAAGTTTAGAGCCCCACAGTACAAGAAAGATGCCGACGAACTGGAAGGGGTGCAGAGAAGAGCCACTGACATTGCTAGGTGGCTGGAGCACGTGGTGTCTTTGAAGAGGTTGAGGGAGCTGTGTGTGTTTAGCCTGAAGAAGAGAGAGCTTAAAGGGGATCTTACTGCTGCTCTTAATGAGTGGTTATAGAGAGGAATTCTCAGCAAAGGGACTGGAGGCAACAGGCACAAATTGCAGTAAGGGAAACTCTTAACTAGAATAAAGAAGAACGTTTTCACCATGAGAGTGGTCAAGCACTGCATTAGGGGCCCAGAGAAGCAGTGAGATCTCTGGCCATGGGGATATTACAAACTGGATTGGACATGACCCTAAGCAACCTGATCTAACCGCTTAGTTAGTGAGAGGTTGGATAAGTGCTGTCCAATGAATCTTCCCAATATAAATTGTTCTATGATTCTCTTCAAGATGAGGAAACAACATTGTTCAGAGTAGAGTTGACTGTCCCTAAGAGAAGGCAGTACTTTAGATGTTAGCTCTGAGGTTGGCAGCAAAGATGATGTCGGATTTTAATTTCTATTACAGGTTAGTGCATAGATATGCAAGTAAACTTATAAAACTGCGATGATTGCATTTAAGGTATTGCATCTAACATTACAGGCCAAAGGACGAGTAATATTTTGCAAGGCTGACGTGTGTAGACAGGACTTTAAATATACTTGATGAGGATTTTGTGTCTGAAGAAAGCCATAAACAATTAAAAATACAGTAGGTGGGAGAGTATAACTTTAAGTAATCTTTAAAGCTTTTTAATCACCTCTGAGTTTTGAAAAATGCTTCTGTGCCATAACCCGTGCTCCATATTGTTCTCTAGCTAGTAGGTGGAACCGCTGGGGAAGTCCAGGCATAACAATCTGATAAATATTGTAGTGTTGAATGCTACTCCTAAATCCTGCTTGGTCTCACAAGTCGTGTTTCTTCTACTCGCTGTGGGTGTTTGCTGCCTGACAGGTTCTGGAGTTCGGCTCTGGCAACTGGAATGAGAAAGAGCTTTCTCTTGCTTTCCCACATGCTCACTCTCTCCTGTCCTTCCCCCTAATGGACATCCGCAAACACACGCATGAAATCAGGGAAGTGCATGTCACTAATACTGCTTGCTTATACATCCCTGAAAATAAGTCAGCTGCTTGCAACGTTGTCCTCAAGAACAGGCTGAGGAGCAAAATGTTGTAAGCCTGAATTAGTGGAACAGGCATGGATCATGGGAGCAAAGTCCTTGTCACCAGATCAGCTTTCTTGTTAAGAGGAGTTATCTTGAGCAATGTGGGTAGAGGCCGATTTCGAAACAGAAGGAAAAGGAACATTCTTGCTCTGTCAGAACAGGAGGAAAAATTGAGACTGGGAAATAGGTGAGATGAGTTCTGCTCTAGTACATGTTTCGACATCTCATAGCAAATGTGGAGTAAAACTGATCTGCTATGTAGTTTTGTTGTCATTGGGGTTCTGACAGTATTAGCAAAATTATGTTCTGAATTTCAGTCACTTGTTGCTTGCAGAAACAGAGCAAGAGTAAAGGAGTGATAGACATATGTCTATCTAGGCATAGGAGCTCTGCAATCATACATGCTGTAAGTCACATTTTAATAAAAAACCAGAACACAACAACCTCAAGCTTAGATTCTTTCCGAAATCATTGTTCTTAATTTGTTTATTTCTACAAGCCTACATTGTACTTGCAAAATATTTTTCTTCTTGGTCCCGACTAACAGCTATTTCAAGCCTTGACCAAAGCTTTTCTAGACCAGGATAAATTTTTTCCCCCAAGGTATTATTTATATTGTTCTAGAACTGTAGCTAAGATAGCCAGACATACAGGTTGTCTCATGTTTGTGAGACAAAGTGAATAGCACGTTTTCCCCTAAATCATACAAAGCTAAGAAAAAAGTGTTGCTCTGGAATTATAGAAAGCCTGAAATATCAGCCCGGAGAGGTCTGGCCCTGAAACTTCTTAGGAGCTGGTGTTGGTGAAGAGAGATTCTTACACATAGACACAGTAAAGCCAGAGCAATTAAAACTTTTTAGAGGACTATTTGTGACATTTTTTCCTTGTCCTTTCTCCCGCCTCTCTGGGATTTGGCATTTTACTATCTGTAAATTTCCAGGTGCAGTTAAAGATCTCTACAGGAGTGAGATTTGCTTATTTGAAACCATCTTCTTCCTGAGTCATCGTATGCTTGTGGGTAGTGAAAACGTTCAGTAGTTTTTTTGTAAATGCTGGATTTGAGATTGTGCTGTTTCCTGTTGTCGTAAGTGCTTGGCAGAAGGTTGTGAGTGTACTGTGTATTCTGTGGGACAATAAATCAGACTGATCAATACAGCTTTCTGAAAATTGAAAATAAGATATAAATTGGTATTGGTAGCAGTATAAATGTTCTGGATCTGTGTAAATTGAACAGTTTTTACTGAGATAAAAATCTTAGCCTGAGATGAAGCAATTGCACTGTCTGTCTCAATTAGAATTGTCAGCATTAGAATTGTCAGCATTTGCACTACATGAAAGAAAAGGAATGAAAAAATCAAGTAAAAGTTTTGCTGTATGAACCATTATGTTTCTAATAGGTACTGCTGGGGTGTGGGGTAAATGGTCTGTGAATAAAATGCATCCGAGAGGTTGTTTGTAGGATTAAACAGTACAGGCAAGTCTACCTTTTTTGAGGATTTATTCATCTGCCTTTTTTTTTTTTTAAACAGGAGATGATAGGTGGAAATGAATCCTGTACTGCAGGACCGATACCTATGTCCTACTTAACCTGCCTGACTTACGTTCTGGGAGAATGGACTGGTGTGGAACACATAGAAGATTATCTGAGTTATGCAGTCTACCTTTTATGGGTGCTTTTTCCCCTTGCAGTAGTTTTTCTACTTCCGTCAGTTCTCATCATCCTCTTCTACACTTCCATTCTCCTTCTTCATATTTATAAAAGGAAGAATGAACTAAAGGAAGCTTATTCCAATGATTTTTGGGATGGTGCAAAAGAAATGTTGGCTACCCTATGGGATGGACATGGAAGAATATGGCATGGTAAGCAAGGTCTGACTTTTCATTGGAAACTGCTGAAGCTCTTACTCCTGGCTTTCCTTTTCAGGATTATCAATATATATCTGATTGTTGCTGCTGTGGCATGAAGTCTAAAATTCAGGCCATTTTTTTTTTTCTGTTTTATCAATGACTGCCAGTGGTGCTTGGGAGAAAAAAAGTCATTGAGACTTTTTTTGATTATAAAATTTATTGTCTTACATATTTACTCCTTTGCTGCTACGAAATGAGGTCTTTCATTCAGTTGCATATATATGCAACTCTTCTTAATTGTTTGGGGTTTTTTTCTTTTTTGCTTTTTATAACTACTTCTGAATTTTCTCCTACAGAAGGACCTGAAATGATTGCTATGTTAAAAATTAGATCAATTAACTGTATTATTTCAGAGTCAGTATATGAACACTGGAAGTTCAATACCGGTTCCCTGATAGCTGTCAGCACGTTAGCATAATTCAGTTGCACTTAGCTAGTCTTTTACATATAGTGCCAAACGATGGCTAAAAGGAGCACTCAGTGTCAGTTCACTCACTAGTTGCCACTTCAAATTGACTTTAAAGCCCAAAACTGTTACAGAACCCTACTTTTTTATTTTCTTTCTATGTGTTTTTGACAACTACTTTCTCTAGTAGTATGTCAAAACTAAGAGCTTTGTTCCTTGTCCTTCTACTATTATTTCTTTTATAAAGACAGACTTAATAAATGATTTGGCTTTTCTTTCTAAGGAAATCATAAGCCTCTTTCAGGACCATTCAGTCTAGATGCAGCTAAAGGAGAAAGAGATGTTTAAGAGCAATTTACATAAAGAACAAATCCTTCTTGAAAATCATCTCTATTTGTTCTCTAGTCAAAGGGAAGAGGGTTTTCAAGGCATTGATAACCAGATGGTGCAGCGGCTGTATCAGATAGTCTTTGTAAGACTAAGATGTAACTTTCAAATCTAGGAAAGTACACTAGATCGAAATGAACAGCTACATCAAAGAGCTTAGAATGCTCACTTCACAATAAAAAGCGATTTACTTTTTTTCATAAGAAAATGATTTTTTTTAAGCCTTGGCTTTTTTTGTCCTTAGTAACTTTTTATAAGGTCTGACTTTTCATTTGCACAGGAAGGGTTCATATCCAGTCCCTCATTGACAGTTGTGACAGTTTTTTCTTCCTTGACAGCTGCTTCCGTGTTCTCTATAAGCTTCTCTTGCTAAATAATGAAATGTTTTGTGATTTCCCCCCCCCCCTTACTTGGTTAATCAATATACTGTAGGAAGGACTTTTCATCCTGAAATCTCACAGCATTTGGGGGAAAAAAAAAAACCCAGCTGAAAAACAACTCTACAACCAAAAAGCCCAAAAGGAAAACCCCAAACTGGTGTGTGATACCTGTAACTTTACATATAATGCGCCAATGGTAGATGTAGGTATCGTTCTGGTTATGACAGGCTGACATAGAGTACAATTAATGGTCATTTGGGATGGTACAGATGACATACTTGCAATGTGTTGCAGCTCCACAGGTATAGAAAGTAAAATAGAGGGAGAAGAGCCAAGAGTACCTTCAGAATTAAAAAATAAAATAAAAAACTGGAATGGGAATTGCAGACCTGATTAACTTTGGAAGAAGTGACTGGGTTTGGCCTTTTCTTAATTTATTTTTTATTTAAAAAAAAAACAACCACCAACAGGATACTGTAACAACACTGCTCAATATTAACTAATGGATTTTGATATTTTGTGTTAACTGAATATATTCTGCACTGTTAACTTAATTAGAAATGTAAGTTCAGTAAGAAACTTGTGTGTGTTTATGTATGTTTCAATTAAGCAGATAAAGCCTGAAATAGCTTTTAGTACTTAATGGTGGAGAAATTGAGCAAGTATAATTCTGAGAGAAATTACAAAGATAAGCTTCATACCCTGGAGTAAAAGGAGACACGTAAATGGATGTTGTCACATCAAATCTTCTTAAACAGTTACTGGTGGCAATGAACTTTAAATAAATAAGTAATAGCTTGTAATAGTTGTGTTTCACCACTCCTATCCAGTCCTTATTTTGAATGATTGATTCATGGGACTCTGCAGCCTTGAAGATGGTGAACTGAAAAAGCAAGGAAAAATTACATAGTTCGAGACAGTGAGACTGGGTGTTTTGTTTTCTTTTTTTTGTTGTTGTTCTTTCTTTAAATGTATGTCTTTTACTTTGAATGAAACTTGTATTTCCTGTGAAAGCAACTTAGTAAATGCTGCAAGTCACCCCTTGACTTTTTAGCGGTCACTTTGCTCTCACCGCTTCTCAGGAGTGATCGCTTTGAGTTTGCCGACTTGCTGCAAGCTTGTTTCCTTAGGATAGAATTGTGTCAAACTTTGACATCTGTTATGGCTTTAAATCCTAACAGGTTATGAGCTTCACGGTGCTGAAAATATTCCTGAAGGACCAGGGCTTATTGTGTTTTATCATGGAGCTACTCCTGCTGACTATGTCTATTTCATGGCTAGACTTCTTATACAAAGGAAGAGATACTGCCACGTAGTAGCTGATCATTTCGTCTTTAGATTACCAGGTAACATCCTTTGTTATAAACAATCAGTTTGAGATCTCTGATTTTTTTTTTTTTTTTAAGGTGTAATTAATAAAATTTGTGCCACAGGAACTGAACACAACTCTCAGAACAGGCATTCAGACAAATTTAGTGAAAGTGTTGAAGTACGGCTGTCTCTAACATGTTCTTTACAAACATCAGTGATGAGAGTCGCTCATGCAGGGATGTGTCATACTTCTGGCTGGGCAACACCTTCCAGCAACTCTAGAGTGTTAGAAACAAAGAGAAGGAGATCATAGGAGAAACGGTTGTCTATGTGTTAATTGGTAGCAAATACTTCAACAAGATGTTTCTTTTTTTTTCTTAATATAGGCAGAATGAGTTGTGTAACCTGATTAAGAAATAAACTGTTTGGAAGCAATGCACTTAAAGTCAATGATGATGATGTATTTTCATACCCTGCCCAATGGAGTATGGTGGGCAGTGGAACCTGTCCCCAAGGAGACTGTTCCAAATAGAATCTTTTTTGGAGGAAAGCTGTAGAAGTGGCCATCAAGTTTATGTGAAACATGAGGTGGAGCATGAAGAAAATGAAAAATATGTTTAGGGCAAGATTTTGGCTGGACAGCCTAGTGAAAAACACTGCTGATTCATGAAATAAATTAATTATGTGAGGGGATGGTTTTCATTATGTGAAATACAGTAGTACCCAGTTCTTTTTCCAAGTTCAGTTTGTGACTTAAAAAGCTCGTACTTAATTTTGTGAATTTAAAGGAGTGTTCTGTAGTGTACTGATGCTTTTAGTGGAAGCAACTCATATCAGAAAACTGTCCTTTTGCCAGTATAGTTTTATTTCAGCCTTGAACCCTGAAAACAGAACATTTTCATACTGATAGCAACACGGCTTTGCCTCTGCAACTACTTTTGCCAGTAGCCTAGGATTTGTCAGTTGATTATCAACTCTTTTGCATACAGCTGACTAATGTAACCTGTTTTGTAATTTAGATTTGGCTCCGTATGGTATCTGTTAATACTTATGCACGGTTGTTTATCAAATGGGAGATTAAGATATTTTTCTCCATTTCTGTTTTAAAATAAGGTTCTAAGTGTGAGTAAACTTACGAGTCATCCGAGTATCATTTAGTAGCATTGCAGACACATCTGACTGAATGGCTGTTCTTGAAGAATTGGGTTCAGTAGTACAACATCTAGCTAACAGCTGGTTTCTACAAGCATTCCTCAGGGACTGATACTGAGACCAGTGCTGTGTAATGTTTTTGTTGCACACCTGGATGAGGGGTTGGAGCGTGCTCGTAGGAAGTTCACTGATGGTACCAAACTGGGGGAGCAGTTGATACACTGGGAGTTAGAGCTGGTTTTCAGAGTGCCTTCACAAAAACGAACTGACAGAAACATCACGAATTTCAGAAAAAGCAAATGTGAGGTTGTGCATCTGGGATGGAGCAATCCCATGCGACAGTGCTCTGAGTAGAACGTGGCTTTACAGGAAAGGACTCTGGCATTCTAGTGAACAACAAGTTGAACGTGAGTCAGCAGCATTAACCTTCCTTGCAGAAGATTAACTGCATACTGAGCTTTTTTTAGCATGAGTGTAGCCAGCAGGTTGAGTGAAGAGGTTTCTTCCCTTGGCTTGGCACCTTTGCAAGCACATCTTACAACATGGTGTCCAGTTTTGGACTCCTCAGTCCAAACAAACTTTGACACAGTAGAGCATGTGCAGTGAATGATGGGGAGCTGGAGCACACAATGTGTGAGGAGAGGCTGAGAAAACTGGATTTATTTCGTCCGTGCCAGATAAGGTTGGGGGAAGATATTATTGATGTCTTCAGCGACCTAATGGGAGGGTGCAGAGAAAAGGGAGTCAGACTCTTCTCACAGGTTCACAGCAATAGAATGACAAGCAACAGAGACAAGTTGCAACACAGGAAATTTTGATTAGACATGTGGAAAGGATCAGACACCTGAACAGATTGCCTAGACAAGTTGGGGAATCTCCATCCCTGGAGACTTTCAAAACTCTGCTGGGTGAGGCCCTGAGCAGACTGATCTAGCTGGACTCGCTTTGAGTGGGAGGTTGGCCTAGATGACCTTCAGAGGTTCCTTCCAACTTACGTAATTCTCTGGTTCTGTGAATGAATTAAGAGTATTCAGGAAAGACAAGCCCAAAGAGCCCGGATAATATTCTGGCTTGAGTTTCAAAATCTGCACAATAATCTATGATTGGCAGCCCAGATAGATACTGCTTCTTTTGAGAACCAAACCAGAAAGACTGCTGTAATTTTATCCTACTACTAAGACTGCCTGATCTTGACTAAGTCTTCAGATTAAATTGGATACCTTTCCAGAAGATGCTTTAGTTAATCAAAAGTTATTATGCTCAATGCAGGAGAAATGGGGGTTGAGGGGTGGGGGGTTGGTTTGGGGAGTCTATAGGCCGTTAGACACACCTGGATTAGATGATTTAATGATCCTTCTGTTTTTATGATTATTGAATCTGCTATGAATAGCTGCGAGGAAAGGCTTGTCCCATGAATCTGAATCTCAGGTCCATGCCAGTATGCAATTGCCAGTATACAGTCTCCGTGCATCCTCTGCATTGGGCACTGCTGTTCTGGATTAACTGCAGTTAACTGGCGTGTGTTTGTAAAATGTTGCTTTGCCTCCTAAGGGATGCATGTGCCTGCAAGGGGTCAAACATGCCTCTCCCTACTGATTAATCTTGAAAGATGCAGCTTCATAGCTCATGGAAGGGAATCTAACCTAATAGGAGACCTGTAGATATCTGAAGTTTCCTATTGAATGTTGCCTAATGTGTCTGTCTTTCACATCGATGCTGAAGGAATACTGTATCAACACTATATATGCTTCTGTTGCTTGCATTTTGGGGCAGAAGGATATGAAATATGGTCCTGTGGCTTCTTTTTTTCCTTTTTCTTTTAAACGCTGGAGGTTAGTCACAGAAGAAAAAAACATTCTGATGGCTTCTGGTTCTTTTAGATTCTTAGATGTATAATGCTCAGGAATACATTGATTTCTCATTGTAAGAGCTTTAAACTAGATTTGAAGGGGGAAAGGGATAAACCCAGGATCATTAGAGATAAGCCTGGGGGCGTCACACCAATTTTTGAGGGACGGTGTGCTAGTGAGGTCCTTTGGTCTGCGGTCTCAGTGGAAGTAGGTGATGGAGATCCATGCAACAGCAAAAATGCAAGGATGTGTTAGAAACCACGGAAGTGGCTGAGAATGGTCATGTAGGAATTAGGACTTCACCAACTAAAAAAGTGGTGGGATCAATAGCCCTACTGAAGTGCATCTACACTAATGCAGGCAGCATGGGGAACAAACGGGAGGAGCTGGAAGCCATTGTGCAGCAGGAAAACTATGATACAGTTGCCATTGTGGAAACATGGTGGGATGAATTGCACAACTGAAGTGCTGCAATGGATGGCTATAAACTCTTCAAAAGGGATAAGCGAGGAAAGAGAGGCAGTAGGGTAGCCCCGTATGTTAGGGGGAGTTTTGACTATCTCGAGCTTGACGATGGTGATGAAAGGGTACAGTGTTTATGGGTAAGAATTGGGGGGAAGGCCAACAAGGCGGATTTCATGGTGGGAGTCTGTTATAGAACACCCAACCAGGATAAAGAGGCAGACAAAAGATGCTATAAGCAGCTGGTAGAAGTCTCACTAGCTTTTGGGTCTTGTGGGGGACTTCAGCTACTAGATATTTGCTGGAAATACAGTACAGCAGAGCAGAAACAGTTTAAGAGGTTCATGGAGTGTGTAGAAGATAACTTCCTGACACAGCTGGTGAGTGAGCCAACTAGGGAAGGCGCCCTGCTGGACCTGTTGTTTGCAAACAGAGAAGGACTTGTGGGTGATGTGATGGTTGGAGGCCATCTTGGGCATAGCGATCACGAAATGATAAAGAGTTTGCGATTCTTGGAGAAGTAAGGAGGGGGCTCAGCAGAGCTGCTGCTTTGGACTTCTAAAGGGCAGACTTTGGCTCTTTAGGAGCCTAGTCAACAGAGTACCTTGTGAGGCAGTCCTGAGGGGCAAAGGAGTCCAGGAAGGCTGGATGTTCTACAAGAAGGAAGTCTTAAAGGTGCAGGAGCAGGCCATCCCCATATGCTGAGAGGCGAGCTGACGAGGAAGAAGACCAGACCAGCTAAAGAGAGAGCTTTGCCTGGAACTCAGGGGAAGAAAAAGAGAGTTTACGACCTTCGGAAGAAGGGGCAGGCTAGGGACTACAAAGATGCCATGAGGTTATGCAGGGAGAAAATTAGAAGGGCCAAAGCCCAACTAGGACTGAATTTTACTACTGCCGTAAAAGACAATAAAAAATGTTTCTATAATACATTAGCAACAAAAGAAGGGCTAAGGAGAATCTCCTTCTTTTTTAGACACTGAGGGAAACATAGTGACAAAGGATGAGGACAAGGCTGAGGTACTTAATGCCTTCTTTGTCTCAGTCTTTAATAGTAAGACCAGTTGTTCTCCAGATACCCAGCCCCCTGGGCTGGAAGATAGGGACGGGGAACAGAATGAAGCCTCATAATCCAAGGGGAAATGATTAGCGACCTGCTACACCATTTAAACACACATAAGTCTGTGGGGCTGGATAGCATCCACCCAAGGTACTGAAGTCACTGGCAGAAGTGCTCACCAAGCCGCTTTCCATCATTTATTGGCAGTCATGGCTAACTGAGGAGGTCCCAGATGACTGGAGGTTAGCAAATGAGGATCCAAGGAACTACAGACCTGTCACTCTGACCTTGGGGCTGAAGAAGGTTATGGAGCAGATCATCTAGAGTGCCATCATGCAGCAGGTACAGGACAACCTGGTGGTCAGACCCAGTCAGCATGGGTTTAAGAAAGGCAGGTCCTGCTTGAGTGACCTGATCTTCTATGACAAGATGACCTACTTGGTGGATGAGGGAAAGTCTGTGGATGTTGTCTACCTAGACTTTAATAAAGCCTTTGATGCCGTTTCCCACTGCATTCTCCTTGAGAAACTGGCTGCTCAGGGCTTG